GGGTGCTGGAGCTGGCGCGCGGTGGCGGCGACCCCTACAGCGATCTCAGCAAAGGCGTGCTGCGCTGCCGGACCGTGGAGGACGTGCTCACACCTCTCGAAGACTGCTTCATGCTGGACGTCAGCACCGTGCTGGATTTCGGCGTCTTGGCTAGCATCATGCAGAGCGGCCACACGCGAATCCCCGTGTACGAGGAGGAGCGCTCCAACATCGTGGACATGCTCTACCTCAAGGACTTGGCCTTCGTGGATCCCGAAGACTGTACACCGCTCAGCACCATAACTCGCTTCTACAACCATCCCCTCCACTTCGTCTTCAATGACACCAAGCTGGACGCTGTCCTGGAGGAGTTCAAGCGAGGTAACGGCCCGGCCTTGGTGCAGGGGACGCTCATGCCAGTGCCCTCTCCCGGAAAAGGGGTGGAGAGTTATGGAAGCCTCCAGGAAAGGGTCCCACCCCCGTGGAGAGCAGTGAGACCTCTAAGGGCCCTTTTCAAGAAGGTATTGGCCTTGGAGCTTGGAATGACCTTTTGAAATATTTAAAGGCCATCCATCAGAGAGGGACGGAGTGCTTTAGAAAATGAACACTTTAACCCCCATGTCAGGATAGCCGCCCTCCCATTTGGAGGGAGGGGTATGTCCACTTAGTTCTAATCAAATTCTTGGATAGAAACTGGAAGAACATAGAAAAGGTAGTTTCCAGGTATCTGAGATGTTGTTATCTGCACACACAGGACATCAAATTGACTGAACCTGTGATGTTTCCTCCAGAGCATTCTTAAGGTCCCTGAACTTATTGCAGATAAGGGTATTGAGGAGCCAATTCCTTATCTGCAGTAAAGCCAGGGAAACCTACACTTTGCTTTCACAAAAAGCAACTCCATGGATGCTGATTTAGTCTCCCTTTCTCCTGGCTCTATCGCCCAGGCTGGAGTGCAGTGGCGCGATGTCGGCTCACCGCAACCTCTGCTTCCCAGGTTCAAGCTATTCTCCTGCATCAGCCTTCCGAGTAGCTGGTACTGCAGGTACCCACCACCAACCCAGGCTAATATTTGTATTTTTAGTAGAGATGGGGTTTCACCACATTGGCCAGGGTAGTCTTGAACTCCTGACCAGGTGATCCACTTTCCTCAGCCTCCCAAAGTGCTGGGATTACAGGCGTGAGCCACCGTCCCTGGCCTCTTTTTGCTTTTTAATCTTATTTTTAATTTTTAAAATTTTATATAGAGACAAGGTCTCACTCTTTTCCCTGGGCTGGTCTCAAACTCCTGGCCTCAAGTTATCCTCCCACCTTGACCTCCCAAAGTGTTGGGATTACAGGCATGAGCCACTGCACCCAGCCTGACCTTCTCTTTTCTAACCCTAAGTTCTCCCTTAACTCCACATTTTCGTCCCTCCTTTCACTCTGTTTTATCTGAGCAGTTCGGAGGTTGAAGGTAAAACCTGTACCCTCCAGATGTGAAGGTGTGGTTTCCTCAGCAGTCCTCTCCAGTGTCATCCTTGGGGGTGCTCACCAGAGTTTGGGGCTCATACCTTGGCCAACAGCCATGCTTCTCACACCTGCACTCCTGTAGGGTAAGGATGGGGCACCCCAGAGTGCTGGATGGGCTTGACCCTAAAAGCTGCCTGGTGTGAGGCCAAGAAGTGGCAAAGCCCCCTGGTATTTGTGGCAGGACGTGTCTGGCACTCTGTCGAGAGCCCCTGGCCCGCTGGCACAGGAAGCCAGGCTTTGTGATAATAACTGCTACTCCTGACTGAGCACTGCTGTGTGCCAGGCGCTGGTCAGCACTCTGTGTATCTTATCCCTCATTCCTTGCAGGAGGCCTGGGTACTAAGTTACTGTTACTGTAGCTCAGGAATGGGTGGGAGGCTTAGGTGGGCAGCTCTAACTATTCTCTTAGACTCTTGGGTGCTTCTGTCTGAGTTCCTAGAACATGGCCATGCCACCCTGCCCTGGGGAGGGAGCCTGGGCTGGGATCTAGATAGAGCCTAGCGGTGGTAAGTACTCCATCTGGGCCACCAGACCCCCTGAGGCAGGGGTGATTCTCCTAGTGTGGTGGCCAACAGTGCGACCGTGGAATCAGCAGAGTAGGTTCTGTCCTGCCCTTGCCTGCTCCCAGGCCCTGGAAGGCTGCTCAACCTCTCATGGCACAAGGTCCTCTGCTGTTAGTGATAAGAGTGGGGTAAACGGACCTGCGGAGGGGAGACTTATTAAGCACTTTGGCCAGTGCCTGGCATGCACGTGCTGTGTGCTTGGTGTTAGCAGGCGGTTCTCACTCCGGGCAGGCTCTGCTGGCAGGTGAGCTGTTTGCCAATTCAGGAGCAAGAGGTGAATCATAGAAGTGCAGATTTCCATTTTTTCCAGGCAGGTCACCAGATTTCCTTCTTTATAAGGAAAAAGTGGAAGATGGTAGCTGTTCCTTTGGTGTTCTAAGCACTCACGTTTCTAAATTCTTTAAGAAAAAACTCACTCTAGTATCTGTCTTCAGCTAGCTGGTGCTTTCAGTAGTTGAGCAGTCACTAGGAGTAGATTTGGGGCAGTGGAGATGGAAGGGTTGCCCGTTTCAGACTAAAGGGAACTTCCATAGTTGGTCATATGCTCAGGATGAGGTTGGTGAAAGTCGTCTTTCATTTTCCAAACCCTTAGTGTCAGGATCTTCCCTGCCATATTCTTGCCTTTCAGATGTGATGGATGAGCTTGGCTTGGATGAGCTTGGCTTAGGGTGGTCGGGGATTCTACCTGGGGAAGAATCAAAAACGTTCCCGTTGATTGGGAAGGAGCCTAGAGGCAGGATGTCCCCTAGGGAGCTTGTGTGCTGTGTAAGGAACTTGGACTTGATCACCAGAGCTGTGAGCATTAAGCAGCACCGTCAGTTATTTTTACAGATCAGTAATAATTGTGGACACCAGCGCAGGGAGACCAGCAGTGTGAGGGATCCAGGTGAGAGGGGAAGATAACCTGAACAAGGTTCACGGCAGGCCTGGAGAGAGAAGCCCCAGGAGGGCAGCAGAGGTGGAATTGGGAAAATTAGTGTCTGACAGCAGGGCTGTGCAGCAAGGAGGAGCAGCCAAGGATGAGGCCCAGATTTCTGGCTGTGCGGTGGCAGTGCCCTTCACAAAGGGCTGGGTGTGGCGAGCAGGTAAACTTGTTTTGGCCATTGAATTTGTGTCTGTGCAATGTCCCAAGAGGCAAACTCCTAGCAGGCCGCTGATGTGAAGTACAAGTGGGAGGCAGAATAGGAGTGTCTCTCAAGCCATGGGAGGGAGGCAGAGAGCCTCAGCCTCCTAGGAGCACAGGTGTGTCGGGGGCAAGGGAAGCCCAAGAGAAGTTGACCAGAAGGCGGCAAGGCCAAGGAAGGAGGAGAGCCAGAGATGTGGAATGTCCTGGAAGCTAAGGAAAGAGACCACTTTCCCAGGGAAGGCAAGTGACAGGAGAGGAGGCCAGCAAACAGGATGCCCTTGACCTTTGCAAGAGCAGATTTAGTGCCCACAGCAAGGGAGCCATTTGGGGAATGAATGAGGTGTGGAAAGGTATGAGAACCAATGTAGACAGCTCTCCACAGAACGTGGCCGTAGAGAAGCCAGAGAGTAGTGACCGGCAGAGGACGTGGGGCAGGAGAGGGAGGAGGCCCTTTGCTGTTTGAAGATGGGCGGGTTGAGCAGGTTCAGATTGAAATGCAGGTTGAAATGTAGCTAGGAAGGAAATTAGAGAGGCCAGGTTCCAGGCTGCTCCTGTTCTGGGCCAGGTGGCCTCTAGACAGGTCACAGGCAGCCTGATGCAGGAGGATTTGGGGATGACCGCCTCTGCTTGAAACAGACCGTTCTAAAAGTTACCTGACAACACGCTGAAAGGATGCCCTTGGAAGACAGTGGGGGAGGTTTTTGGAACCTAGAGGTTGAATTAGGAGCACTTTAATCTCCCTTTACTTCCCCACTCCTGTGGTGAGCGAGGGCCATTCGTGGGCAGACTGGCCATGTCTTTCTGATGACATCTGAGAGCTTTTTTCTTTGCCTCTCTAATTCAGTGCAGTCCTTTGGCAAATACCATTATTTTTTCTTGTTAAACTCCTTTTTGTCCCTCCTAACCTCCTTAGGCATTCCTCCACTTAGGAACAAAGGGCATATTGCAGTCTTTGTGGCACGTGAGGCTTTAAAAATCGATTCCATTCCCATCTGTCTGCCAAGTGTATGAGCCTCTGAATTTCCTGGAGCTGGAGTCCCTGCCATCTTGGCAGCTTTTATTCCAGGTTTTGTTTCTTTTGCTGCTATGCTAGGGAACTTTGTAGTCTGGGGGCGAAGTACCCTCCCTGGCAAGGCGCCCCTCAGTCAGTGCGAACGTGAGATGACACGCTGATTATTTTGTGCAGATGTCACCAGGAAGAATGAGTGCTTTGGAGCAGTAATAAATAACTTGGACAGCTGCTCCTTGACTTACAAATGGGGTTATGTCCTGAAAAACCCCATCATAAGTTGAAAATATCTTAAGTCAAAAATGTGTTTGATATATCTAACCTACCAAACAAAATAGCTCAGCCTGGCCCACTTTAAACATGCTCAGAACACTTACTTTAGCCTGCAGTTGGGCAAAGTCATCTAACACAAAGCTGTTTTAAAATAAAGTGTTGAATATCTCATGTAATTTATTGCATGCTGTACTAAAAGTGAAAACAGAACGGCTTTATGTGTATTTGAAGTATGGTTTCTACATATTGCTTTTGAACCATCAAATTTGAAAAATTATAATTTGAACCATTGTTAAGTCAGGGACTTTAATGTACAAAAGAATATTATTATTACTATATTTTTGAGACAGAGTTTTGCTCTTGTTGCCCAGGCTGGAGTGCAATGGCGTGATCTCGGCTCACTGCAACCTCTGCCTCCTAGATTCAAGCAATTCTCCTGCCTCAGCCTCCTGAGTAGCTGGGATTACAGGCATGTGCCACCATACCAGGCTAATTTTTGTATTTTTAGTAGAGATGGGGTTTCGCCATGTTGGTAAGGCTGGTCTCGAACTCCTGACCTCGTGATTCACCTGCCTCGGCCTCCCAAAGTGCTGGGATTACAGGTGTGAGCCACCACCCCTGGCCCAAGAACATTACTATTATTTTTGAGACAGAGTCTTCCTCTGTCACCCAGGTTGGAGTGCAGTGACGCGATCGTGACTCACTGTAGCCTCTACCTCCTGGGCTCAAGCAATCCTCCCATCACAGGTGAGCACCAGCATGCTCAGCTAATTTTTAATTTTATGTAGACATTGGGGTCTCCCTGTGTTGCCCAGGCTGGACTCGAACTTCTGGCCTCAAGCAGTCCTCCCAACTCAGCCTCCCAAAGAGATGGGATTACAAGTGTGTGCCACCATGCCCGGCCGCAGTCTCTGCTTTAAAGGAACGGACCTCTGGTTTCCTGTCTGTCAGGAGCCAGATGATTGCCGGGAGCCAGATAATTGCTGGGATGCTGAAAAGAGTCCAACCAGCTCCAACCACCATGAAGTGTGTTAGCAAACTACTTTTGTCTTTCTCACAGTATTCGTTCATTCACCAAGGTGGTTTAGAAAACAGAAGAGAGAAGGTGGAAGAACTTACACTCCAACTGTTACTAGTATTATAGAAATTGGGCATTATGAAAGGGTACTTTGGCATTCAAATAACTGGGGTACCCTGGAGCCTGCTAACTAAAATTAAACTTCAAGCTTTTCCAGGACTTTCTGCTTGATGTTGGCAAGAAACACTGTCACAGCTGCTCGTGGCTCCGTGGAGCTGGCCTGTAGGTGGGCATTGGTGTGAGTGGTTCCACTCTCTTGACTCAGATGAGAGGTGACCTTGAGTCCCTCCAGCTGCCCTTGTTCTGTTCCTCTGCTGCCATCTTTGACTGCCATCTAGACCCCTCAGATGTTCTTCTTGGGATTCAGTCACACGACCACTGTTCCCGAGGATCTTCCAGGGCCTGCTTTCTTCTGTTCGTGGTAGAATCATCCCAGTGTGGCAGGCTATGGAGAATCGTGTGCCTGTTCTAGAGAAGTTTGAAAGCAAAGGGGCGAGTCCCTCTCTGTAGGAAACCTCCCAAAGGATCTGGCTTCCTGGGAGAAGGGAGCCAAGATGAGGCCTTTCTGTGCTGAGTTGGCCATTTAGATCATGGGCTTTGGTGCTGGAATCCAAGACACTAACCAAAACCACATGTCATGCTTGGCCTTCCTGGTCTGGCCTGACAGGTTGGTACTCTGACGGGGCAGCCATGGCCATTGTAGAGATGGTACCCAGCACAAGCACTGAGGGTTAGAAGGTGTCTAGAATTATGGTTCAGCAGGACTGAGTGGAGATCTCCAGGGCCATAGCTTTTCCTCCTGGAAAGCGGGGAGATGACGTGATGTGGCGATTTCCAGTTTTTTGTCCAGGGGAACACAAGCATCCTGGAGAATTGTGCTTTATTTAATCAAGCCCACAGGATGTAAAGTATGATTCACGCAATAACACGAACTTGACTTTTTGATTTTCCAAGAGTCCAAGAGTCTTGAAGCAGACACCCCCTCGTAGGCAGGTCCAGGCCAGTTTCCCCTCAGTGTTTCCGCTAGTGACAAAGGAGGACCTGGTTGAATGAGTTGCTTCCAGCCCTCTGTCCTGGACCTGCGCAGCCCAGGCCGGCAGCCCCCCTCCACCTGGGACTGTGGTACCTGAAGGTGGAGTCTGAGTTGAGATGTGACACCCGATTCAGAGAGTGCAAAATAAAGACAAATTGTCTGTGACTATTTTTTGTATTGATTACATGTTGAAATGCTATTTTGATTACATTGGGTTACTTACAATATATCATTAAACTTAATTGTATGTGTTTCTTTTGACTTTTTAAATGCAGCTATTCAGATTTTAAATTACATAGGTGGCTTGCATTCTGTTTTTTTCAGACAGGCCTAAAGTAGTATGGATGAAAAGCACTTACCTGACACATACTAAATTCCTGAAGCTTCCCCAGCATTCCCCAACACTCTGAGACTTGGGCTTTTTTCCAAGCTTACATTCCCTCACTAAGCAAACAAACCAAATAGGAAGCTAACCTGAGAAAGACACATAGGATAAGGTGAAAAATCTCAGCCTGGTGCTCCTCCTCCCTGCACAGCTTGGCTCCCAAGTGGCCAGTTACCACTTATCTCATCCCCAGGTTGGCAGCCCCTAATGAGCAGCTTTTTTTTTTTTTTTTTGAGACAGTTTCACTCTTGTTGTCCAGGCTGGAGTACAGTGGCACAATCTCAGCTCAGTGCAACCTCTGCCTCCTGGGTTCGAACAATTCTCCTGCCTCAACCTCCCAAGTAGCTGGGATTACAGGCATGAACCACCATGCCCAGCTAATTTTGTATTTTTAGTAGAGACAAGGTTTCTCCATGTTGGTCAGACTGGTCCCTAGTACCCGACCTCAGGTGATCCACCCGCCTCAGCCTCCCAAAGTGCTGGGATTACAGGCATGAGATACCGCACCTGGCCATGAGCAGCTTTATAAATTAGGAAAACCTCCCTGGCCGGGCGTGGTGGCTCACGCCTGTAATCCAAGCACTTTGGAGGCCAGGGCGGGTGGATCACCTGAGGTTGGAAGTTCATGACCAGCCTGACCAACATGATGAAACCCCATCTTTAAAAAAAAAAAAAAAAAGGAAAACCTCCCAAGGAGAGTCAGGCTGGGTGGCCCCACTCGGCTGCCCTGTGTGGACTGTCTGGGGAGAGCCTGCATTTCCGGAGTCGGTCTCTTGTTCACATGCATCTGCAGGCTGACTGCTGTGTGAAGCATGTGTGTTCTCAGCTGGATGCATCCTTGTCTGAACCGCATATATGGCGTGGAGGACCTGGGGCTGGATCCCACTCTGCCATACTCTGCCTGGGGAGCTTCGTGCAGATGAGCATGAGCCTGATGCTTCATTTTCAGCCTATGTGAAAATAAGGCCAGTCCTCATAAGCATGCTGGGAGTCTTAAGTAAAAACCTAGAAAAGGGTCTGGCTCTGTTCCTGGCACATTGTAGGAAAATGAATGTTAGCCGTGTCCCTTTAGTGAGCCTATACGCAGAGGAGACAAAGAAAAATGATGGCGGGGGGGCACCAGCAAGCTGTTCCATGAGTGTCCTACCCCCACAGGGAAGTCCCACCTGGCCATTGTGCAGAAGGTGAACAACGAGGGTGAGGGCGACCCCTTCTACGAGGTCCTGGGCCTAGTTACCCTGGAGGATGTGATCGAGGAGATCATCAGGTCCGAGATCCTGGATGAGTCAGAAGACTACCGTGAGTCCAGACTCCTGGCAGTTCCACCTCCACTGGGCCCTCACGCTTCCCGAGGTGTATGTTGTGTCAGAGGCCAGTGGGCCTCTGTGCTGCTGGAACCCAGCGAGATCCACAGCCAGGCTCCCTTCTCCTCAGCCCTGCATGGGTGCTTGTAGGAGGGCTCATGCCTGCACCTCCACACAAGCATGGTAGCCTGTGCCAGCGGTGGCCTTGCAATCCCAGGGCTCGCTTGGGGCTCCATTAGCTGCCGTCCTGTTTCCTGCATTACTGAGAGGGCCCTGCCCTTCATGCGTCTTTCCAGTCTTCTGTCTCCCTAGGTGCTTTTGTTTTTGCAGGTTTTTTCCTGCATTACAGAAATGTCCCCTGAAAGAACACATTCTTTACCATGAAGAAAGTCTTCCCAAAGCAGCTGATCCCGGGGCCCTTGATTGCATGGTAAAAGTGTCTGCCTGTTAGGATGGTGGCTGAAGTCTGCAGAGCAGCACAGAACCTGTGCTTCATGGCTGGGCTGCCTGCCCCACATGCTTTCGAAAGTATTGCTTTACTCATGTGTCAGTTTTCAATCACAGCATCTTTAGTCTTGTTTGTGAGACTACCATAGGCATAGGGTCTCCAGGTTAATTGCAGCCCTTTTGCACTGGTAATCCTTGAATACACACTTTTAGTGAGAAGTAGCGCTCAGTGGCCAAGGAGGCCTGTTGTGTTTTTTTTTTGAGACGGTCTTGCCTTGTCACCCAGGCTGGAGTGCAGTGGCGCAGTCATGGCTCACTGCAGCCTCAACTTCCCAGGCTCAAGGGATTCTCCCACCTTAGCCTCCAGAGTAGCTGGGAGTACAGGCGCATGCCGCCACACCTGGCTAATTGTTTTATTTTTGTAAAGACGATTTCTGTATGTTACCCAGGCTGGTCCTGAACTTCTGGCTTTAAGTGACCCTTCCACCTCAGCCTCCTAAAGTGTTGGGATTACAGCTGTGAACGACTACATTTGGCCTAAATTTAAAAAAACTTTGGTCTACATCCAGTGGCCTATCAGGGAGGCCTGTTATTTTATAAAAGCTGCTTTGTTATATCAGCATTCTCTTCAGCCAAGGCAAGGATCCATCCCTCTGTCCATGTGGTTGGGGTGGCAGCAGGCCCCATGGAGGGAGCGGTGCTGAGGACATGTCCCTGCTGGCCTCAGGAGGAAGGAGAGGATGACACCGCTCCCTGGTGTGGTCGTGAGTGTGCCCTCTTTATCCACCTTAGGAGACACTGTGGTAAAGAGGAAGCCTGCTTCTCTTATGGCCCCTCTCAAGCGGAAGGAGGAGTTCTCCTTGTTCAAGGTGTCTGATGATGAACATAAAGTAAAAATCTCGCCTCAGCTGCTCTTGGCCACCCAGCGCTTCCTGTCCCAAGGTGAGGCGGGAGGGTAGTCCATGCCCCCTGCTCTCCTCACTGTCCTGTGGGTCAGGAGGCTGCTCGGGGCCGACACTAACTCTACTCCCCATTCCTCGCAAGCAGGCACATCTTGAGGACCTCCGTGTTCTCTGCAGCCGTGCCAGCATCTTGAGTCTTGGGAGAGGCAGCTCCTCTCTGCCAGACGGCCAAGAGCAGGGCCAGGGCAGTGCCACAACTGGTACGCCATGGCCAGGCGGCCTCAGCTCTCAGCTGGGTAGATGTGGGGTGCCCTGTCCATTTTTTTTTTTTTTAAGACAGGTTCTTGCTTTGTCACCCAAGCTGGAGTGCAGTGGTGTAATCTGGTTCCCTGCAACCTCCACCTCCCAAGTTCAAGTGATTGTCCTGCCCCAGCCTCCCAAGTAGCTGGGATTACAGGCGTGCATCACCACGCCTAGCTAATTTTTGTATTTTTACTAGAGATGGGGTTTCGCCATGTTGGCCAGGCGGGTCTTGAACTCCTGACTCCAGGTGATCTGCCCGCCTTGGCCTCCCAAAGTGCTGGGATAACAGGCATGAGCCACCACGCCCAGCCCTTGTCTAGTTCTCTTGTGTTGAGATTGGGGGTGGGGGGCAGCTGCTCACAGGCTACCCAGGAGAGCCCCGGTGGGCACAGTAACTTGAAATTGCCTAAAGTGTTGGGTGTGGTTCCACGGGCTACTAGGCCCTAGTGGACACCGTCCCTTTTTTCCACCACGGGCAGAAGTGGATGTATTCAGCCCACTGCGCATCTCTGAGAAGGTCCTGCTGCACCTGCTGAAGCATCCCAGCGTCAACCAGGAAGTGAGGTTTGATGAGAGCAACCGCCTGGCCACACACCACTACCTGTATCAGCGCAGCCAACCGGTGGATTACTTCATTCTTATCCTACAGGTAGCTGTGCGTACCAGGCCTGGAGCCTCCTGCTTCCTCAGGCCACAGAAGGGTCTGGGAGAAGAGGGGACTAGGGGCATGCAGATACCTCCCTACCCCAAAACAGTTGAGTTTATGGGTTTCTCTTTGCACTGTCTAATGACGGGAAAGGCAATCTGGCCACATCTGTTTCTCTCCCTGCTGTTCCTCCCAGGGCAGAGTTGAAGTGGAGATCGGGAAAGAGGGCCTGAAGTTTGAGAATGGGGCCTTCACGTACTATGGAGTGTCGGCCCTGACCGTGCCATCCTCGGGTAAGCTCGGCCCCTGCTGGCGCAGAGGGCCAGGGTCAAGGCTGCGGAGCCTGTCCCCCCCTTGTCACTTCAGCTCTCAGTGCCCCTCCTCACCTCCCTTTCTACCTGAGCCCACCACCCCATAAGGTGGTGTGGCCCCTGGGCTTCTGGGAGGGAGGGCAGCATTCTCCATCACTCGTCTTTGTGGCTCACTCCACCCCTGCGAAACCTCTCCCAGCTATGTTCATCATCCTCTCTCAGCTTCCTACACACATTGCCTCTCCAGGGTGATTGGTGGGGTTGGTCTTCGAAACTGTACAGTTGTCCTCACCAGGGGAGGGGGCTCCCAGCTGCCAGCACTGGCTTCTGCCATCACTGATTGTTCCTTTGATAGTTCACCAGTCCCCGGTGTCCTCGCTCCAGCCCATCCGCCATGACCTGCAGCCTGAGCCAGACAGCACGCGTTCATCTGCATATTGTCCCGACTACACCGTCAGGGCGCTCTCTGACCTGCAGCTCATCAAGGTGACTGCCTGGGCTGCTCATGGGCGCTGACTTTAGCTGACTTTGTGTCACCGGGGCTACCAGCTTGTCTGAGACTGCCCGGAGCAAGGCCCTGCACTCATCCTGAGGGACACAGACCTTTGCACCCAGTTTCCATGCGAGGTTTTAAAAACACTTGACTCAGTTGCTCTTCTCCCCTTAACTAGCTTAAAGTTGTGCCTCTGTCCTCTTCTGGCATGGTGTGGACTCTACTGACTACCTTCTGTGTCTCACTTCACCAGTTGGGTCTGCCAGTAATATTTTCATCCTCTAGGTTACGCGGCTGCAGTACCTCAACGCACTCCTGGCTACCCGAGCCCAGAACCTGCCACAGTCCCCTGAGAACACTGACCTGCAGGTCATCCCAGGCAGCCAGACCAGGCTCCTCGGTGAGAAGATGGCCATAGCGGCAGGTGAGTGCCGAGTAGTATGCTGTGCACTGTGTCTAGACCCAGGGGCCGTGAACTTGCACACACAGACTTGCACTCGCACTGCCCCACCCTGCCCTCCATCTTTTTGCCCATCCTTTTCCCTTCTTGCTTTTTTTTTTTTTTTAGATGGAGTCTTGCTCTGTCACCCAGGCTGGAGTGCAATGGTGTGATCTTGGCTCACTGCAATCTCTGCCTCCTTTGTTCAAGCATTTCTACTGTCTCAGCCTCCTGAAGTAGCTAGGATTACAGGCGCCTGCCACCATACCTAGCTAATTATTATTTTTTTTTTTTTTGAGACGGAGTCATGCTAATTTTTTTGTATTTTTAGTAGAGATAGCGTTTCTCCATGTTGGCCAGGGCTGGTCTCAAACTTCTGACCTCAGGTGATCTGCCTGCCTCGGCCTCCCATAGTGCTGGGATTCCAGGCGTGAGCCACCACACCTGGCCCCCTTCTTGCTATTTTTTTTTTTAATTCTTCATTACTCAGTTTGAACTTCTTGCTGTTTTTAACAGCTTGGATGACACCAAGCTATAGACTAACTGGTATTTAGACTATAGTAAGTCAATATTTTCTCTCAAGGTCCTCTTAGAATGGATTGACTTAATCAGAGAATTGCTGGGAAGTGGGAGTAAGTTTCAGTTCAGACACTTTTGGCCATTTAAGTTTAGGTCACTTGGTAAGTGAAGATTGGAGTCAGCAGTGGGCCTATCTCAGAGGGTGGGTGGCTGGTGGACACCATCCTAGACATTAGAAGGGCATTTGTGAGGAATTTGGTCAGTTTATGCTAATATTTAAATAAACGAGACCCATCTGGGGCTCCACTGTGAGCAGGAAGATTGTGTTGGAAGAAATTTTGCAAATGGAACTAGAGGTGGTGGGATATCAAACCCCATCCCCCCTCAGTGTCAGGAGGGAGGTGAAAA